TACGTTTCCAAGTTGACATTTGACTGTCCCTTTGCTCCACTATCATACTGTCTTACTTATTGTAGCATTCTAAATATCTGGTAGTATAAAAAATTTTAAGAGCCTTTTGGGATTTTTATTGGGATTGTGTTGAAACTATTAATTAACTTGGGGAAAACTGATATTTTTGAGTATTGAGTCTCCAACCTATGAATAATGGCACAACCTTCTTTTTAATTTAAAATATATTTTTATTCTCTGTCAATGTTTTTTGTTTTTAGGGTAGAGGTTTTGTACATCTTTTGTTGGATTTGTTTCTAGATTTTTAGTCTTTTTGATGTTATTGTAAATGACATATTTTATAATTTTATTTTCTATTTGTTGCTGATAAAAATACAGCCACTTCTAAAAATACAGACTTTGTACCCTGCTACCTTCTTAAATTCACTTATTCTAATAGTAGTGACAGTGGGCAAATTTCCTTGTTCTCACTCTATGGGGAAAGACTTTTATTCTTCACCAGTGATTATTATGGTTGCTGTGGTTTTGTTTTTTGTTATTTTGATCTTCCCTTTATTAGATGTGAAAGTTCCCTCCTATTCTTAGATTGCTTAAAGATTTTTGTTTGGTTTTGTTTCATTGTGATTGTTGAATATCTTTTAAATGATTTTTGTGTGTCTATTTAAACGATCGTATAATTTTCCCCTTGTTCTCTGTAAATGTGATTAATGACATTGATTTTCTAATATTAATTCAACCTCACATGCCTAAAATAAACCTAATTAATTGTTGAATTAGATTGCACTTCCACAGAAGCCAACACTAGGTCAAGAAGTGGAGTACAAATATATATTTATTAGATATACATATTCTCATTCTGATGCCATTCATATACATTCATGTATATTTATTGGCCCACTCACTTGTGTATGTGGAGAGAGAAAACATTCCATCCTCATATTTCTTCTGATGTTTTCAGCGATCATTCCTAAATAAACTATTCATGTATATAAGGGGTGAGAAAAAATATGGTTAGGGTGTAAAGTTTTTAAAATATTATTACAATGAAAGACACATTGCCATGAATTCTCCTCAAAATCCTTCTCCTCCTTGCTTCAGACACACATATCCCATCATTCTTGGCACTTTCTTTTTATTTCCCCATTAAGTTTATTGGTACATTTAGGTATACAATACAGTTACATTCATCATTGGGATCTTGTACCATTACATGAGCCTCTTGGTTCTTTTTTTCCCTTTCTCCTGCCCTCCCTTCACCCCCTCCACCCTTCCCTATTTGCAAAGACTTTGTTTCCATTTTTTTCCT